TTGGAGAAACAAGAATTTTTTTCTATTCTAATAATCTTTCGGTTTCTAAACATAATGAATGTTAATTTTTTTTCCATTTGGGGTTGCTATCTTTATGGCAAAATTTCATAAGATAGTTGATGGCCACGGCAACAGTTTGTTGAAATGCACTGAATAAACGAACGATTTTATCCTGCCTTTTTCCTTGACGAGACAGCTCCATAGTTGCAGAATGTTTGATTGACATCTGAAAGAAAGATAGTGAGCAATTTCAAACCAGAAAGACAAACACTACTTTAAAAAAGTGGGCAGAATTTAATAAAATAAAAACTATTCGACTAGAGTAACATAAATTGTGTTTTAGGACGCCTTAAAGTTTTAGCCCCCCCCCTATTTTTTCGTCACTCTCTAGTGCAATTTTGCTACATTTTTCTGTATATTACTATAAAAAATAACAGGTTTCGTTTAAATGAAGGTGCTATTATTACGTTCATACCTATGGACTGAAGGACAATCACATATAAGACTCTTTTAAACAGTGACGTAGAGGACTCTTCTAAGCAATGACGCATTTTTTATTGCTAAACCCCGTCCCGCCCCCAAACGGGGCATCCGGGTATTAATATTTACAAAAGTTATAACATGATGAGTTAAAATTTTCTTTATGCAGATGAAAAGATGATCATGAGGAGGTATGTTGCATTCGTCATATATTTCACTCTATTATTTGCACACTTTTCCGTTGGATCCTATTCAGGGAATTAGTTGGTTTTCATCTTAACTAAATTATTTCAAAGTGATCTTTGATTTCCCTTATACCCTCTTTTATCTTTTTTTGGTTCCAGTACTTCTTTACGTTTTCGTAGCTAAGATTTTTGGGAAAGTATAATTTTAAGCATGATCATTGCTCATTTTAAGCATGAGCAATGACGCATAACACTCTTCTAAACAATGATACGTAAGACTCTTTCAAACAATGATACATAAGACTCCTCTAAACAATGCAAGTGAGAAGTTTCGTTTGTTAGATTTCCATAAGTATTTATACTTTTCATAGTTTTCGATCGATATAACATTTTATTATTTATTTCATCAGTTAATAAATAGAAAAGGTATATACAGAGAGATCGTATAATTCAAATCTCTAAAGATTTTACCGCTTGTGTCTTAATTTTTTGTAGTCATTCTGGAATATTTCTAAAAGTAATTAGAAATTCCCAGGGTGTATATGTTTCTAGTATCCCGAAAAGGAAGATTCCATGCAAGAACGAACAATGTTAAGGCAGGATGTCAAACTTATCCAAGTTTACCCCATCACAAATATATAATAATTTCTTTTTTTTATTTTTCCTCTTGTGTTATAATATTTGTCTCTGTCTGCAGTATTATTTAAGACTCAGTAGTCATGAGTTAAAATCAAATGACATTTCGTGATTTCAGTTTTAATTAGTAGGAGAACATCGGTGGAAAGTTCAAACAATGCAAGTGTTTAAATAGAATTAAGTTTCCTATACTCTGAAATTGAATTGAACGTACAGTCTTATAGCACGAAAACAGTAAGTGCAAGTTTCAAATAAAAGTACGTTATCAAAGTAAGGAAACAAAACATTGAATGTTTTAGGAAATACTGTGCAAAAATTGCGTACTCCCAGTTTTTTAAACATTTCTGTTCCATTTTTATCAAGTTATTATATAGTTACCATGTTAGTGAAGTTATTATATCTGTCAAGTTATTACATCAAGAGTTATCAATTTGACTCCAATTTGAACCATTCACATCATTATTATCTTCAAAACATGGAACATTTTTATTATTTACTTCTTCATTGTATATCTCTTCGTCTATAAAAAGTGAACTTTCGTAATTTGACTGCATATTATCCACACTTATCAAACACCTCAGCTACAATTTATAATAATAATAATATCAGTTAAACTTTTGTAATCTTTATTAATTAAAATTGGAGGGTATAAACGCTTTAAAAAATTTAGAGCTCCAAATCAACTGAAGCGCAGCCACGCCCCAAGCAACAGAAGACTCTAGCAAACGAAAATGACTGAGCAGTCAAACGCACCGAAACTTCCAATCAACAGAAGATTCAAACCCACCAAAATATTAGAAATTTCAAATGCAAAAAAGAATTAATAAGATAAAACTAATAGATGATTGAATTGACATATCTCAAAACTAAAATGATGGTACAAATACGAGATGAGAAAGAGACTCTTAACATATAAAATCAGCAGGTGACTGAAACGTGTCAATTTAGTTGTAAACGCACCCAAACGCGAAAGTAAAAGATGCTTGAACGAAGTAATGGAAGTAAGCAATAGATGCGATGAAGTCTTTTTCATCTACTCTGTGACTCGTAAATATAACTATCAAATTTTGTAACTTAACCCGAGTTTGATGATATGACGCCGAATTCGGTAATATTCATTTACTGCCCCAACAAACATAGGTATAACATTTAGGCAGCGAAATTTCATCACCAGAATTTCATTGCATTTGAGAGACATACGAAGTATGTAAAGTAATAAGATTTATGTTTTACATATTTTTTAATTTTTTTTTTCAATTACAGTTCAAAACTGTCTCCTTCAAAATATATCCGTTGAAAAGTCACACAGCTTTCGAGACGTTTCTTCCCTTTCTTGTGAAAAGTATTTTACGCCAAAATCAAAGTTGTCGCCTTAATAGTCGGTTCCAATCTTTGAATGTTTTTATGCACCCCAAAATGACGTCTCTTGGGAAAAGTTTTCAATTACGGGAAGAGAAAAATTCCAAGGACTCATGCCAGATGGTTAGGGAGGTTGGGGAGCCAAAGGAATATGCTTACTGGTAAAAAACGCATTTATTGACATTGCTGTGCGTCAAGATGCATTATTGTGATGCAGGATCTAAATGTTCCTGATGTTTGGTCTTACATACATGGCAGTCTCTTAAGAATTCATTAGTTAAAGCGTTTACTGACTGTTTGACCTTCAGGTGCAAGTTCTTTGTGGCTGGTTCTTTGGCTATTGAAGCTGTAAATCCTTGACTTGTTCATTGTTTGCTTCTTTGGAGGATACAGTTCTTCATTCTATGATCTGGCGTTTGGTTTCTGACTCGTACTTAAACAACAAAACTCTCGTTACCAGTATTAACGTGTTCCAAGAAGATGGAGATCAGTTTAAATAAATTTCAAAAGGTTCAAAAGGTTAAAACATTTTCCCTTCCTAATGTCTTTTTGTTACATCGAAATGTTTGTTGAAATCATTTTGAAGTTAATTAAATCGTTTTGAAGTCAATTATTTCGTTCATCAACCACTGATCTGAATGCACAGGATTCCGTTATTCAGTTAATATTTTCATCGGATCTAGTAGTTGACAGTGACAGTAGATAGCATTTCACTGTTGTATTAATCTTGTTTGAACTTTCCTCCCTTTAAAAATTCTTGAACCCCCGAAAAACCTTGACTTTGACAAAATATTTTATATGACTGCTGAAGTTTTACAACAATTTGCGTTGCACTGAGCCCAAATTTGAACCAACACATGGTAACACAATATTCCTCAAATAAATGTCACTCATTTTTAGAACGTACTTCAAAAACTGAAATCCGAAAAAAGATGACTACTGACAACCACGTGAATCGACTGAATTTACACTTGTATAGGGCATATTCACTTACAGTTCCTCCATGCTTAGGACGTTCGAGGTCACCATGTCGAACGTTATATTACGAGTTTCATAACGCAATGAATTTCCTTCGTTTGCGTTAGAGCAAACCCATAAATTTACACTCTAAACCACGAAAATCAACTGGATTTTTGAATTTTATTGTTAACATAGTAATAGAGCTACGCTTATTGGTTAGTGATAACAGTTTGAATCCGGAGACAATACTACCACCATCTTCTAGTTTTCTAAACAGCATTCTACAATTTAGATGGAGGTAGTAATCACCAGGTCTCCCTACTACGCTTTCCGAACGTGCGTTGACCTTTACACAGTCCTGAAAATACTTCTTACATTAGAGTGGATTCAAAATCAGTAAGACATGTTTAGATTAATCTTGACATCCAAGTCTTAGAACAAGGAATCGAACCCCGGGCCATGAAGCGTGGGAAGATAATTCTACCCATTATACCGAACGAACTGCTGATTTAAGGATGACTGCAGAGTTGAAACAAACTTACGGAAAAATAGCGAATGAAAGAAATTTTTTAACCGGTCAGCACCTACTGATCTGAAAGGTAAATAATTGTAACACAATCATTTCACCATCAACACTGACCTTGGAAATCTAAGTCATTCAAAGTCCCGGTGTGCATTGATAGTTAAGAACTTGGTTCCCAGCAGATGACCGAAGTCAAGCTTCGCTGGTTGCGGTTAGCGTGCGGGTGGGTGACCACTTGGATCAGTGTGTAAAGTGGCCGAGGTGTGCGGTATTGATCTTCGCTAAATTGTTATACAGTGAGGTGCTCGACTTCACGTTGGCTACCGAAGTGGGGGTGTCATTCACACGGCATAGGATCAAAATTGTTAGGACATGTCTTCGGGCCATCCTCAGGCATGTTTACCAGACTGTCGCTAATAGCCCATTGTGTAGCTCTAGTGCGACGTAAATAAACTACAACAACTAAGTTATTCAAACTATAATAATATTTCAGCCTTTAATATTTAGCCAAAGATCTTTTCTTCCCTGAGACACATAGCAATGGAAGTGAAAATGGATAAAAAGTCCTCCACGACGGCTAATTTCTCCCAATGCTTGATCCAGGAGTTCTCACGTCTTCTGGAATCTTCTAGTTATTTTAAAAAAAAAAGAGAAATTACTAACAGGATTAACGTCCTTTTACTACCACTTTTAAATTAAGTCCGCTGAGCCATGTTAAATTCGTTCTTTACAGTAATGCGTCGATCTCAAAATGTGATAGATTTGCTCAGTTTCATTATAAAGTTTCATAGCCAGTTTCATTGTTAAAAGGAATCATTTTTCAAAGTGGTAAAAAAATGAAATAAAAATGTATTTAGTAAGATCAAAATGTGTTTATACTCAGAAAAACGTATTTACATAATAATGCAATATATACATTTGAATAATATTTACATATAAATTGAAAAATGAGTTTTTTTTTTAAATATTAAGATGGGGACATTATTTACACGGTGTTTAACGTATATTTCTGCTAATATTTCAGATCAAAAGTTCTTTGGTAAGTTCTCCATACACTGACATGAACTTGGCATCCAAAATCTTTCTTTGTGCGTCATCCCCATTGAATCAACTGAAAACATTTGAATTGATGAGTAAAATTGATGACAGCGATGGTTGCATTCCTCGTCTTTGCTGAAAATAAATTTAAAAACTCTTTACAAAATGCAAAATGCATTTAAAATAAAACACAAATGTAAAATTTATAAAAATTGATTCTGATGTACAGTAAAAGCTTAATAAAGCGAGTTTGCTATTACGACAATTTTCCAAGTGGTCATAAAAATGCTGACATAAAAAATACGCAATTTATATTGTTAGAACGAGTAAAATATCGCTAGACTTCCGCTATTGCGACAAGTTTGAGGGAGGGGGGATAAATATATTTTTTCTGCTGTTAATGTTAAGTACGGAATTCGGTATGAAAAAGGGAAATAAGTGTCAATAAAGAATAGTAAAAAACGGACATCATTTCCCTTTATTTCCTGCCTAGCCTACAATATCAATCCTTTATGTTTATAAAGCAAACATGTGTGAGCGATCACAGGCCATGATATCATTCTCTTTCTAAAAGAAAAACTCGGCTACTTTTGGAAAAATTTTTGCTAACTTCAAAAGAATACACTTCTTCCTTTTTCATACCTTTCATAATTACCTGATTATTTATGAGATCATCATCTAACTCTATTAAAGATGTCGAATTGTCTATTGTTCTTATTTGATGTTTTTCCGGTAGCTTACTTTCTGATGTTTTAGCATTAAATATTTGTATTTGATTGTAACAACATGTAACGACAATTTTATTTCTCTTAGTGGATTGTCATGCTAACAGACTTTTAATGCATCCATTAATTTTTCCCAAAATTTGTTTTCAGGTTTAAAGCAATGTACAGTACCAATGAAATTTACATTGCAAGTGGGATAACTTTATTGTTTTATATTTTCTGAATAATCATTTACCTGTTTCATTTAATTTTAGAAAAGCGATTGAATAAAGTAGATACTTTATTCATTTAGCTACCCATCTATTCAGCTATCCTGTTAGCTACCCATCTATTCAGCTATCCTGTTAGCTACCCATTTGGTTTCTAAAAATAACAACTATACATCCAACTGTCCTCTAAAGCAGAACCGCTGTTGCCAAATAATGTTCCTCAAAACCCTAGAGTTCCGTAGGCTTCGGAAGCTAGGTTTTATTTTTTAAACCAGTTAAGAGTTTTAAAATCCTGTAATTAAATTTACATCTTTTGTGCATTGAATGTTTTCGTATTTTAAGGAAATTATTTATTGAAATGCTTGAAAAAAAAGCCAAATTAAAAAAAAAAGAAATTCCAATAACAAATATTGAAGTATGATGGGAAATATATGCATTTATGAATAATTGCATTAGTATTCGCATCGAATAAAAATAACCAACTTCAAGTATGTTTGGCTGATCATTATTTTCAACATTTATTTCGTATTCATTTATTTTCGCCCTTATTTATTTCGACTTCTTTAATTTCGTCTTTATTATACTATTTTTTTTGTTTTTATTTCAACGAAAACCATATTTCAGTTCATTTCATTTCTAGTTTTCATCAAATTGAGAACCAGATAAGAAGGCCCTTCCAGACCCAAGAACTCAACTGTCTGACATATATACAATTTTAAGACGATTAGTATAAACGATATGATGTAAAAATTTTATTCTTCACCCCCTCTAAATGTGTTCAAAATAAATAATAAAATTTCAATCATTCAATAATTTCCAATCGATTAATAGCTTTTCGTTGATTTCCAATGAAATTAATTCATTAACTCTAGAGGATATAGCCATAAGAAGGTTGATCATTTAGGGTATCATGGGCAAACAAATTGGGAACCGCTGTTCTAAAGTATTTAAAGCAAATCTTGTATAATAAGATGTGTTTGTTATTATTAAAACTTACGAGAAATAGTTTCTTGTCACGACAATAATTCAGTATCGTTCGTTCGTTCGTTGTAGTGGAACTGGGCGTCTGAGGCCTTACGGCCCTTTTCCCATTCATCTTGAAGTTTAACTTAGAAACATACATGACAAAATTAAAGTTTGGGGAGCAAATGGAGTTCTTGAGAAAAGAAAAATGGCACTTTGCCATTATTAGGCAATGACAAAATTACAAGTAATAAAAATGTACATGTAAAAGGTAAAATTAAAGTTCAATGGGAAAATAAACACTAATGAATATTTACAGTTTGGAAATACGTATAAAAGGGGGGCGAGTGAAAGGATTGTGAGGATGTGTGTATATGTGTGGTAAATGTGGCTCTGTTAAGTAGAGACCCGACCGTCAGTGAGTGTTTGTGTTGTTAAATGTTAGTATGATAGCAGAAGTGTAGAAGTGTGCAATGGGCCGAATTTTTGCATCCTTTTTGAGATTTATGCAGTCGAAAATATCATAAAAATTTGCGGTATCGCAGGTGGCGGCTTTAATAAAGAAGTTTCTATTTAATTTGTTGAAATGATGGTCAAAGCGGTCAATGTTAAGATCTCTATGGATGGCGTTGTTGCGGATAAACCATCTGGCTCCCGTGAGTTTTCTAAAGATGTTGTTTTGGAGTACGATAAGTTTGTTGAGTCTTTTTCGGAGGCGTTACACCAGGCAGGTGAGGCGTACGTCATGATAGGACGTAGGTATACAGGAGTTTTTTCAGTTTTAAACTAAGGTGTCGGTTATGAAAAAGTGTTTCAAGTTTGTTGGTTGCTGCATATACTTTATTTTTAATGTTATTTACATGATCAGACCAGGTCAGTTTTTTATTAATGGTTAAGCCTAAATATATAGCTTTAACAACAATGGGTATAGTGTTGTTGAAGAGAACTAGTTGGTATTTATTAGAATAGGACTTTCTATTCTTTTGTATTATTAGAAGTTGCGATTTACTAGCATTTAGTTTGAACTTCCAATTTAGGCACCAGTCTTCAACATCATATAACTTGTTCTGTAGTTTTCGAAGTGCATTATCTGGTTTGAGAGATTTCTGCAAGATTCCAGTATCGTCAGCGTAAAACGCCGTAATACTGTTGTGGTCGTCGTGAAATATGGGGAAATCGTGGGTATAAATAATGAAAAGTATCGGTCCTAGAATGCTCCCTTGGGGAACACCCGCATTTATTTTTCTCCTGGAAGAAACAACACTATTTAGCTTAATATTAAAGGTACGGTTTGATAAGTAGTTATGTATTTAAATTAATTAGTTTGTGCACGATACCAGCATGCCAAACTCGATCGAATGCTTTGACGGCATGAGTTGTTTGGTGGTATCTAAGTTTTTTCTGAAACCGTACTGCTCATTAGACAGGCAACCTAGAAAAGGTTTTATTCTGTTATACAGTATACGTTCTAGAATTTTACCAAAAATACACAGTAGGCTGATTGGTCTAAAGCTCTCGGGTAAGCTTAGGTTTTTATTTGCTTTGGGAATCAGAATAATGGTTGCATTCTTCCAGTTTGTGGGGAAATAATTTAAATGCAGACAGGCATTGTAAATATCTGTTAAGGTGGAGATGTAAGTATTGGTAAAAGTTTAACTATTTTATTCTTAATATTGTCATCACCTGGTGCCTTCTTTGATTTTAGTTTCTTGATAATATTTTGTACTTCATAATTATTGGTGGGTTCAATAGGGGTGACTTGGGAATTAGAGACTAGGAAGTCCGAGACAGTGGTATTGACAATATTATGTGTGCCGATATCATAGTCATCATTAAGGGAGAATTGTTTAGCCATATGTGTGGCAAAAGCTTCTGCCTTGTCAGTGTTAGTACATGCAAAGCCATTATCTGTCTTAATTGGTTTGCTAATTACTTGGTCAGTTCTGAGGGCCTTTGCCATTTTCCAGATTGAATTGTTTTCAGTTGTTAGATTTTTGATCTTGTCATTCCACTGTAATTTTTTATACTTTCTAGTTTCTTTGTGAATGATTTTATTTAGTTCAAGCATTTCAGTTTTATAATTCGGATCGCAGGTTCGTTTGAATTTTTTCCTACACCAATTTCTGGTTTTTACTAGGTTTCTAATTTCCTGAGGAAGTTTAAGAAAATTAATTTTGTATTCTTTATCTATGGAAGCTTCCTCGTATGCGCCAGAGATGAAATTTTCAATACTATTGATTTGATTGTTGATGTCATTTGGGTTTTTTAAGTCTAGATTGGNCTTGTAATTTTGAACCAATCCAGAAGACAAGGAAACTCCTGGATCAGTACCCCCAGAGGTATTGATTTGTTATGGGAACATGGAGGACTTTGAGACTCGACAGATTTAACGTGCATCAGTCACCATTTACTACACGGGGAGTCTTCGGCCGGCGAGGATCGAACCCACGACCTCTTGGACTTGGGCCCAGCGCACTACCGACCAGGCTATCCCGGCCAATAACAAATATTGAAGTATGATGGGAAATATATGCATTTATGAATAATTGCATTAGTATTCGCATTGAATAAAAATAACCAACTTCAAGTATGTTTCGCTGATAATTATTTTCAACATTTATTTCGTATTCATTTATTTTCGTCTTCATTTCGACTCATTTTATTTCCTCTTCATTATAATATTTTTTTTTGTTTTTATCTCAACGAAAACCATATTTCAGTTCCTTTAATTTTTAGTTTTTATCAAATTGAGAACCAGATAGGAAGGCGCTTCCAGACCCAAGAACTCAACCGTCTGACATATATTCAATTTTAAGACGATTGGTATAAGTGATATGACGCAAAAATTATATTTCACTCCTTCACCCCCTCTAAATGTGTTCAAAATAAATAATAAAATTTCAATCATTCAATATTTTCCAATCGATTAATAGCTTTTCGTTGATTTATAATTTTCAGAATTTCTAATGAAATTAATTCATTAAGTCTAGAGGATATAGCCATAAGAAGGTTGATCATTTAGAGTATCATAGCCAAACAAATTGGGAACCGCTGTTCAAAAGTATTTAAAGAAAATCTTGTATAATAAGATGTGTTTGCTATTATTAAAACTTATAAGAAATAGTTTCTTGTCACGACAATAATTCAGCAATCGAAATACTTGTATACAAATTTGACTTCTTATTTAAATTTAAGTGCTTGTTAAATCAGAAAACTTTTTATTAATTTTGATATATTCTCCTAGTTTGATTTTTTTAAGTATAACTTGGAGCCCTATCAAAATATAGATTTAAATATTATTAAAATATTTAGATTGACGTGAATGCTTTTGAGATTAAAGAAGAAGAAGAAGCAAATTTGAAATTTGATTACTCAGAAATTATTCAACTGATTTCGGTCGAATTTTGTACTTCGCCATACAAAGTTAAATTTTTTTACAATGATGCGAAAATTTGTATACCTTAAAATTCGAAATTATTTAGAATATTATTAAAAAAATATAAAAAATGAGCATTAAAATTATTCAATAATTCCAAGCTGTGATTAATCCGTACTTTCGAATTTTTTATAATTAGCGGTGAACAAAATAGATGCATATAAAATTTACTTAAACCAAGAATCATATGATGAAACATAACTTTAGCTACCACAAAATTTTTTTTTCTCGCAGAGCTAAGCAAGTTGAGCGCTCCGAATTTAGAGAGGTACAAGATATTTAAAGAGGTCTTACAGAGGTAAGGATGTACCTTTGAACAGCATCCCTGGGTAATGCTATAACCAGGGATGCTACAGGCGCCCAGAAAAGTAAGAAGTGGTAAGAACTTATTTCATTTTTTATTTATTTAATTTATATAATTGAACTGGATCGGAACTGCTACCATATTCTAGATAATATTCTCAAATATTCTAGATAATGAAAGGTTGATGAACGTTCATGAGAAATCGAATTTTAAAAATACAACTTTTTTAAAATTTGATTTCTCAGGTACTATTCGACCGATTTCGCTCAAATTTTGTATTTTGCCTAGGTAAAATTACATTCTTTAAAAATGATGTAGAAAATCTTACAATTTAATTTTTTGTGACTATTGTTAAATAAAATGATAATTGCATATAATTATCTTTGAATTCTATGCAATCATCTTTGAATTTGTCTAGATTTTGCATAGAATTATTTTTGGATAAACATATTTTTTAATAGTGAGCAAATATTTTTTAATTCGCTTAAAAAGTTTTCGAGATATGGCGAAATACACACAAAATAAAATTTACGTTATGGGACCTAAATTTAAGACTACTTCCCTGACCAAACTATTACGACCATTTTTCTCCTGTTTTCGTAGTTTTCTTCTCCATGTAACGCAAATGCGGGTTAGTTCCATCAAAAAGTCCTCCACGAAGTCAAATTTTTCCCAATACTTGATCCAGGAGTTCCCTTGTCTTCTGGATTGGATTCAAAATTACAAGGCTACGGCGTTGAACATTAGTGATCGTAAACCCAAAAATGGGTCGGCTGTTCAACGACGGTTATAAAATATGAAAATGCTAACCCTTATATTTTGGATGGCAGAAAGACGAATCGGTCGAGAAAAAGGTATGTTTATTCAGAGGAAGTACGTTTTTTCGGAACCTAAAATATCGTCTGCACTAATTGATTAGCCTATTTGGGGTCACCTTCTTGAACCATTAAGACTTAAAATTAGATCAAAAGTTATTCAGGGTGACCTTTGTTTGCGCACTGTACACATATTTCAAAATGCTTTTCCAACTGATTGACACCAAAATGGAATTTTTGGTCAAATTTTCGTTGCCATACTCCCTTAACTGGTTAACGCCCATCGTCATATATTTTACACAGTTCCTTTTTTCAAAGACATTGATTGTGGGGGGAAACTTTTTTCAGTATTTTCATTTATCTGGGTGAATTAAAGGATTCTCAGATACCATGATGATTTCTGATTGAATCTAGAATTATAAGGAGCAAGTACTTTTTGATCTAACAAAAACTTTTTGAATGCTCGGATAGTAGAAAAACCAATTAATTTTGATAATATATTATGCCACTTTTTCCATAAAATCACTTTTTGTATCATTTCAATATGTTAATTCGGGACAAAACGGGTTAAATACAAACCTTACTTACTTGCATAAATGGATATGTATTCTTTGCCTCATTTCAGAACTTTCGTCTTGCACAATGTATTTCCATTCTCCCATTTTGTTAACGGCGAGTTTTGGTTCCACTGTCTTCTTATATCCCTGACATTTTTGAATACTGTTCCGCCTCTCTGAGTTTGCACTTGTTGACCTAGTTTTTCTTTGATCTTTTGCGTTTTTATAGGTTAGAAAGATGTCGTCGTTGAGCATATATTCTGGTGGTTCCTCCAGACCTTCCCTTTCATCTGTAAATAGTTCATCAATTGGAAACAATTTCTGATCCAGAAGATCTGTAATAAGTTTTCTGAAAGATTAAAGATTATTTATTTTAATAAGTTATCTGAAAGTTGTCATTATTTGCACTTTTTACAAAAAGTATTTTCAGGGTCTTCGAAAATTTTTTTTTACGTAAAATATTTTTAGGGTCTTAGAGAAGTTCTTTTTTGCGAAAAATATTTTAAAGGTCATTGAAAAATTCTTTTTGAGAAAGATAGCTTCAGTATCTTTGAAAAGTTGTTTTTACGGAAAATATTTTCAGGGTCTTAGAAACGGTTTTTTACGCAAAATATTTTCATGGTCATGGTACTTTTTGCAGAAAATATTTTGCAGAAATCATAATTTCTAATAGTTTTAAAGTGCAAAACATTTTTCTATTTCCAATTATTTTCCAAAAAATAATATGTTTTAGTGAAAAGTACTAGTTAACATTTAATACTATTTTAGCATTCAATGCTAAAATGATATGTTGATATATGTTGAAAAAAAATTTTTGGCATTTTTTCAAGACCTTGATTTACCTAATTTGGTAGATATTTCAAATTTGAAATTAGTTTTGTTCGGAAAGCTACAGATTTTTTACAAAAGGATATTTTTAGTTTAGTTTATTTATTGTCCGAGTGTATTAATTTTTAAAGTACTTACATACATACACACTTGCCTGTTCTTTCGGAAATAAAACTTAAGACAAAAAATGTATAACCTTAACGTCTTTTTAGTATCACTCTCTACTTATCAGAAAAATGGGGACAGAGCATTATTTATTGTTTTAAGCTAACTGAAATACATAGCTTTCAATATTTGCGCTTTTTCTGAAAATATTTTCAAGGTCTTAGAAGAGGTTTTTTACAGAAAATATTTTCAAGGTCTTAGAAGAGGTTTTTTACAAAAAATATTATCATAGTCTTAAAAAAGTACTTTTTGCGGAAAATATTTGGATAAAATTGATGTGATGATGATATTTTTAGTTTAGTTTATTTACTGTTTGAATGTATAAGTTTATAAAGAACTTATATAATTACACACTTGTCTGTAAAAAAACTAAAGAGAATAAACGCATGATCTTAACATATTCTTCCTGCCACTCCCTACTTAGCAGAGAAGTGGAGACACAGCATTCACCGAGGGAATTTTTAAATAAATTATTATTAAACTGCATAAAATTTAGTGCTTGTAGAGAGAAATGGGTTGCAGATTTGTAATCAACGATGAAGACGTATCTGTTAAAACGCTACAGAGAACAAAAAGAATTTTTCTCATGGAAAAATGTTTAGATTCATGCCTACAGTGACGCTTATCGTCACTTGATTCACAATCACAATAAAACATTTCGCATATACAAACGATTGATTAGATTGGAAATACACTTTAGGAGCTTCCATTAGTACACAGAACTTTCACAAAAATAAAAAAAAACGCTCTTGAGTAAAGTATTAAGAAATACGTTTCGATAATGTTAATCACGAGTTTATAGTCCAAGTTTGATCTACTATGTGACCTTTCTAAAATTTAGCTATAGATAGTTAAAACAAAAAAGGTATAATATATAAGATCCGAATAAGAGAGGCAGTAATGTGTGCTGTCCAGAGAGGCTATGAAGCGTTGCATGGGTAAGTACTCTCCATACCAATTAGTTCCCTTCTTTATATATTAATTAGTTAAAGAATTTTATGTAACTAATACAAGACTTGTGATTAATTTATTATAGTGGAATATGCCTAATTATTTATTGTTTGCTCCATCGTAACAATATGGTACAGCAACGTAATACTACCCTTTGCTAGCAAATAAAAATTTTTAAAGATGATTTTAATTTGCCATTTTATTTCTTCTCAAAAATAAACATATTTTTTTATCAATACAAATGTAAAAAAATAATAATAATAGTTCATCAAATACCCTACATAAAGGAGGTGTATTTGTCAACCTCCATTACAAAAACTGACACTTTTATCACACGAATTTTAATACAATTCTTTAAACTTTTCAAGCAATCAATCTATTATATTTGTCACAAAACAATATTTTTACAATAAAAATCCAAATTATTTCATTAACCCATTGGCTTATCAGCTGCATGGAGGCCAACTACTACGCGCTTTTTACAAAATATATTATTGAGTGGTAGACAATTAATAATTTCGGAATTTTTGAAAAAGTTGCCAACATTTTAGAAGCCTCACCACGACAGGCTTGGAACGAAATGGATTTTCATTTAAGCTTTCGAATCATTTACAAGCAGCGACGTGAAAAGTAACTTTAAATAAATTTTTTAAAAGAACGAATAATATATTAAAGCATAAACTTAGCTACTACTAGAACAAAATATTTTCCATAAAGCTTAGAAAGCAATCAGATCTGCAGCTGGCCGTTTAAACCAAAAATGTTCAATATTCAAATACCCATAGTCTAAAAAACAAACTACTTCGGCCTCATAATAAATAGCAAACTCATCTGGAATAACCATATCAAGGATATAAAAAATAAAGCAAAATGCAGCAACAATAGTTATACAACCGCCGATCGGCCTGTGTAGGGGGCAGGGAACTGTCCTTGCATCAGAAAGGTTCTGGGTTCGAATCCCGGGCAAGGTATGGATGTTTCTTTCTCTCTATCTGTGTTCTATGTCCTTTCTCCTTTGTGTGTGAATGTGACCCGCCCAATAAACGGGTTGTGGTAATGTGACGTGGGCGACGCTGCTCCAACGCCGTGACCCCGCCACAGGTGCCCACTGGGTAACGAAAAGAGAGTTAGCAGTTCTGGCACTTTCTGTGGCCAATGGGCAATAGTTCGAAGTGTCCGCCATTAAAAAAAAATAGTTATACAACCACTCATCTACAACCAGAATATGTCATTAAAACTAAGAAAACTGCTCTATACATTGATGATCAGACCAATTCTCACATATGCCTCACCTGCCTGGACAACCATACCGGAATACCTCATGCAAAAACTCAATCAACGCAAATACAAAATACTAAGGAAAATCACCTGTGCCAGACAGTTCATCAGAAATGAAAATATTCACAAAAACCTCAAAATTCCGATCCCATCACAATATATTCATAAATTAAATGCAGATTTCTTCGACAAAGCCGAAAAATGTAATGCAGCTAATTTTTACCAGATATTTAACTTTGAAAACTACAAAAAAGATACGAAATACTGACCAATAGCCGCTCACTCTACATCCAACGCCTCATATCACAATCATCAAAATAAATAAATAAAAAAAATTCTTAATCACAGATCCACCTATAACATCAGCTTCAACAACTAAAATATTGAAAGGTCCATCAATTATTCCCCACGCTAACCGTCAACCAAAACTAAAGTCACACATAGTTTAGAGCAAGCTGCTTCGTTTTATTTTCATTACTACTATTTATTCAAGCAAATTGCTTGAATCCCCCTGATAGCTACCTCATAGACTGTTAACCACAATGAACTGATACTATGACAAATACTACATGTTGAATGGGATAGTGGTCGCTTAGCGTCCCAGGCACCCAGCCTTGCACCCAGTCAAGTCAATTCAAGCAGCTGGCTGCAGCTCCAAAAATGCTATGAACCTCTAAAAATGTATAAGTATTTGCTTCGAAACATTCAAAAAATTTCAACAACCACTTTTCTTTAGCCAAGAGAGAAATAAAGTATGCCTCTTCTCTGAATTACTTTGATTGAGGTTGCAATTACTAATATGGATTGAACTGCAAAACCGAAATTTGCTATCCAGTACATCTTACTAAGTCAACCAGCAATTGCTTATGAATTATAAAAATTGTTTGTACGATTTCATGTATGTTTTAAATATTTAAGTTACTATTATATTTAGCTCTTAATTATATTTTATAAATGTAATAATTCACGGTTTCCAATTGCTTATTAATTACACAATTATTCCTTCAATTTCAAAGATATTTAAGTTATTATAATTTTCAATTTTTTTTAAAACCAAAATGCTTAGTATTACTATAACTAATTGATTATTATTTTATTTACATAAACCTAAAACATATTTTATTCAACTTTATAGATATTTAAACTTTTAAAGACGTTTTTAAAGAACAATTAATTTTAGTATTGAGTTACTGTTACAGTTTTCAATACTCTAATAATTGCAAGAAATTTTTCATACTTTTGTTACAATTTTAATGATCTTTTAATGTCTGGAATATTTAGAATTCTTCTTAATAAAAATTCATTACGCTTTAATTAATTAATTATTTACAAGAACATGAAGCATGTTTCATAAAAATTTCCAGACAGTTAAACTACTATAGCGTTTGTCCCTAAATATTTGATTTCAGTAAAGTGTTTCCGCTGTAGTTTAATACTTCAATTGCTAGAAATTTTTCGTACTTTTTTTTACAATTCTAAAGATTTTGTAAAGTCGATATTTCTCAGAATTCTTTTTAATAAAAATGCATAACACTATAATTAATTATTTAATTTATTTAATAGAACCTAAAGTATGTTTTCATCACTTTTTCAGGTATTTAAATTGCTACATATATTTGACATAAAATAATTTATAAAGCAAAAATTAGTTTTACTATAAATAATAACTTACAGCGAATTAAGTTTATTTATTTATTTATTTATTTATAATTTCTTCTTAAAAAACCCTCTTAATTTAGAAACAAAAGCTAATAAATTCGTCTCAAAATGACATTTTCTCATTTTAACTTCTTGCCCTTAAATTGGACATTGTTTGATTATCATTTCATTAAAACAATATTCATAAAAACATATATTCGATATCACACAGTCGAAGTAACGCTAAAAAAAGAAAAAAAATCGAGATAGCGAATTTTTGATATAGCAAGTTCAGAACTAAATATGTTCTAAAAAGAAGAAAAATATATTCTTAACTATATTACTCTTAAAAAGTAGAGTCATGAAACATAAGAATAACTACTAATAAATATGGATCTAATGATAGTTGACTATGTGTCGAAACACAACATTTATAATTTTATTTATAAAAGTAAGACAAAAATAATTATGAATTAAATAGAAAAGAATTGGCTTACAATGAACTTACATTGTGATTTTTCAGAAAAAATTCATTTTCTATTTCGAAAGAAATTTGACACAACATGGTTTTGAGAACAAACTCTTCGACATAGGAACATTAGCTGGATATATAATGGCAAGGGGAAAAATATATTTTTGACGCAAGAAGGCTTTCGAGATATCGAGAGCATGGTATGTTAATGGTATTAAAATATGGTATGTTAACAAGATTAATGACGAGAGTAAGAGAAAAGTAATTAAAATAAAATTAATTATTTTAAAAAATATTTAAAAAACTTTTTATTTATGTTAAAAAAAACAATAAAAAAACATATAAAATCCAAAAAACAAATATATTAATACAATNGCGCTTTTTATATATACAGAGTTATTCATAATTCCCTCCGGGGTATCGAAGCGTCATAGTAAAAAAAAAAGAAGACGAATATGAAAAAAAGAAACATATGAAATTATTCCAAAACTATTCAAGTTTTACTTACATACATTACAGGTGTTCCATGTGTGAACCCTTGGTCACACGGCATACATCAATGCAATAGTCCAGTTCCTGCCCGGAGGGAATTATGAATAACCCTGTATAGGAAATCTTCATAAATTTAAATAAGGAAATAAGGAAATCTTCATAAATTTAAATTTAAATTTATTTGAACTATATTTTTGCACCTTACGCTTGTAGAAGTAAAGTTTATTACTAACTGCTGTCGTACTATATTAAAATTATTAAAAAAAAAATATATATATATATATATACCTATATTCAAAGGCGTTTTAAGAACTGCCATTTAAAATTCCCCTCAAAATAACCGAAAGAATAATTAATGAAAATATCAACAAGAAAAAACAAATTATTATTTCACTCACGTTGGGTATTTGTCAACTTCCTCACAAAATGTGACAGTTTTATTTGCACATAGTGGCCTTGTCCCTGAAGCAGCGGGTGTGTATTGCGCATCAGGATATAAGGGTCTAGCCATACCAACACCACCCCACAAACAAGTCAATAAAATTTGAATCATTTTTAAACTTTTGATGACTATGAATTTGTAAACATAATCATCAGGGTCTTATATACGCGCAAACGATGTCATTGAGAAAGAGGGTGTGACGTCACGTAATAATGTTCGAAAAAAAAAAGTTAAGGTCGTCAGTTATGGGGTTATGGTCCTCCGTATCCGGGGTTTTCCCATGTTTTCGGGAATCTCCATCGCTCGATTATGTTTGTAACTTTCTTTTTTTTCTTATTATTATTCGTCTTATTTCTAGAGTTGGAATATATTCTTTTTCTACCGAAAGGCGTTGTTCCACAGAGAAAGTTGGAACGATAATTTGGGTTGTTATTTACTCTGGACTGGTTCCGGATAATGGGGTAGACGATTCAGCGCGCCCTATAAATGTTTCTTTAAAATTATATGGATTCTCTTTTGTCATTTTGAAAAGAGAATTTTTTCCAGTCATATTTTAGTTTTATTGCTTATTTTATTTATTCATTTTGTTTCTGGAAATTTCATGGGGCAATAACCGAAAACTCGCGCAATTAAAAGGAATGTTCTTTTTCTCGTGTAGAGCAAACTCAAAATGTTTTTGAAGTGCAATATTATTCTTGAACATTTTAAAAAAGGAATTTAGAATCTTCAACTACTACGGATTTCTGTTGTTTCAGAAAATACTTCTCTAAACCATTGACACATAATTTTATATTAAACACATTTTTCATACGTTTGTTTTCATTATTTTGTATTGATTTCGAAAAAAATAAGGGTAAAATATTATATTTACCATTTTAATAATTTATGGTTTTGTAATACAGCATGAAATAACGGTGTCGTTTTTGTAAAAGGTAAAATTTTAGAAACACGACTTACTTTCGAACAATAATTTTCTGATTTTCATTAATTTAGATATAAGAGAAACAATTATTCATCGTTGAAATTTATTTAATTTACAAAATTACTTATTTATGAATTTTCCAATATGAATGGAAAAAAATTTAAACTTTCTTTTTTTTGGATTTCATATTTTAGTACAAATACAATGCAGATAGTTTAAATTTTTTTTTTAATAACTATTGACTGTTTCTATTAATTAAAGTATTCCAAAATATAATTTTGCTTCTAGTTGGAGGGTCAAAAAATCTATATAAAAGGGTGTCTCATCCGCGTTAAAGGGCAAAAAGGTAGCAAATAAAATGTGCTAATTTTTAAATATCTTTGAAATCTAAGCCTACCATCTCTGCGCATCAATCAACATAATTAAAACGGATATAAAGCTGTTCAGTTAATTGAATGGTCATTCTTAAATTCGAATAAAAGTTTTATGAATATTCTACGTATTTTAAAAAAATTTGTTTTAATAAATTACAATTGGAAAAATAAATATTTCTCAATAGTTTCTAATAATGGAAGGTACACCAATAAATCTTTTACGAAATTTTTTACAGATGTTTGTTGTGAGATAAAAAAAATCATATTGTAAAACTTTTGTTCTAAGAATTGGATTTACGAGATCGAAAAAAACCAATCTTAATGTTTCAAACGGTTAATACTAACCGTGCTTATTAAATAGTGCTAACAATTAATGAAGTTATGCGGAATCAGACTCAAAAAAGTACCTCAACTGAATAAGCATTCATTTTTTTCGACGACTTCGGAAATTTAACCATTAAAGTAATATAGCAAAATAGCCAAAGTCAGAAAAATTTGTTTCCTTTAGTAGCGTGGTCGAAATTTTATGCCCTCTTAATGTTAATTTCTCTTACGCGTATTTCACCTTGATTGCATTAAAAATTTATATAAACTGTACAGAAAAGCTCAAATATGACTTGAAGAGCAAAATCAAATTTGTTTAAATGAAACTTTTTTTCAAATAAATGCTTGAGAATTATTATGAATATTTTTTGGCCATTATCAATGAAATGCTATTATAAAAATCAAAAATGAAACTCATGAATGTAGAAATTTAAATTAGAAAGAGATGTCTTACTGGACATATATTAAGAAAGGGCAGAAATGGAATTCCTGTTGTCTGGGTAACAGATGGAAAACGGTGGAGAGGATGCCCAAAACTAACAAGGCGCCAAATAATGGAAAAAGAGAGAGGCTAGATGGACTAGTTGGTAGGATGCTAGAGTGGCTGCAGTTCACCGGGAAGAATAGATGACAAGACATGTCCTTATGTGACATTCGGCGTGAAAAAATATGATGATGATATTTCATCATACATCTGAAACCAATGAAGATAATTAAAAATGCATTTTAACACATGGTTATAAAATGTTTCTATTTTTTATTTGATAATAATTCCATGGAAAAATAATATTATTTATAACTATTTATTATTACTGTTATTTAATTTAGGAATGATGTAAAATTTTTTAAATAGTAAAGCATACAAATTTTTGCATAAATTTAATCAACGTAATTTTAAATGATAAAAATTTCTCTGAAACTACTTGCACAGTAAAGAAAATTCTGGCCCCTACTTATGAAACTCGTTCTCTCAGAGCTGTTTTCGTGGTAATAACGCCCTTTATTTTTGTTATTTATAAATTAATTTAATTATTTTATTTAATATAGTCGAAAAATTGTAATTGTAAGTCTCACATAATTTGGCACTCTATATTATTAATTGATTTAATAAAAAACTAGAACTAAATTAATCGAATGTCTTCTAATTTACAAAATTTTTAAAGAGGCGTATTTTAAATTTTTTTATTATTACTGTATAATTTTAATTATTGTATAATTGCCCTTTAAATCGGACTGTCAGTCAGTCACGAAAATTCTATTTTTATAGGATTCTAAGGGATTCTATAGGATTTCTAACGTTACAAACTTTTTAAAGACCAAAGCAAAATATGTCAAAGCAATGGAGTGAGGAGCACTCAAAACATTTTTGAAACAAAATAGAACACTTTAAGTAATAAATATCACGTAAAATACAAAAAATAAAATGGAAAATAAAAATTAAAGGAAAAAACAGAACAAAGCAATAAAACGAAATCTATAAAGGCGCGTAGCGAATTAAAATAAACTTACATGTACGGTAAAAATTTCAAGAATGATTTAAAATATCTTCGTAATGCGATTGCCATATTATAAAATATGAAAACAGAAGCTCAAATTGAGGTAAAAGCGTAAATAGAGGGAAGACTGCAGTACTGAAGGCTTTTGATTGTTAGTTATCAAGGTAAAATGGATGTGTGCAAGGTAATAAATACAACTGTAACTGTAGGTAAACTGTAACTGTTAATAAAGGTAACTGTTAATTTAAAGAAGTTTATAATTAATAAGGTTGATATTTAATTATACAATTTTAATGATTTTTGAAAATTAACATTTATTTAACAATTGTATTTATTTATTATTTATTGTGCTATATATATAGCAGGACTGCAACTAACTTTGAAAGGAAACATGTAGAGTAATAATTTAGTACTTGCTGCTGATGGATTGATATATCCCTGCCTTCTATGAATCATTAACAACATACAGGATATACAGGAGTAAGCATAAAAATATGTTAACACTTCCCCTTACAAATGAGGCATGCGGTTTAAAATATCGGGTCATTATCGTTAAACGCACACCAGAATTGAGGTATTTCAATTCATCATTGCGTAGCTTCAAACATCAAATACAGTCTCGTAAATAATTCAAGGTAAACGACTAATTTAAAAAGCAAAACAGATTGACTCATAAATGTTTTCCTTTTTTAGTAACTTGTAAAGAAGGTATTTTGAAAATAGTAAGGAGAATTTTGATTAAAGAAAAAGAAAAACACATGGTTATGCGTCACGTGGTTGTAAATAACTTATTGACTACAGTAAAATTCGTAATTTTTTTAGGTAGTATTTCTCTAATCTTGTTTCTTTTACTACTTTTTCTAGTTTAGTGGTGGGAAAAGTTATCCAGAAATCAGTTGGTTTTCTAACTAAAATTGTACCAGGGCTGCCAACTTACTACGCTTCTTGTAAAAATTTATTTTAATGGTTGCTGTGTTTATGTTTTTATGTATTATTTTTTATTCGTTTAAACTTATTTTCCACACCACTGCGCCTAAAAATTTAAAAGTCCATATGCAACGCCGCTTTGTTCTAGTTCTCTCTTGGCTGAAATTTTTAAAATGTTGGCAGGCCTGCCAACTACTACGCTCTTTGTAAAATGTTTTACAGAGTGGTAGACCTTTCAAAACCAAAACTCTCAAGGTTTTTGGTAATTTTGCAAATATTTCTAAAGCCTCAAAACGAGTGATCTGGATTGGTTGGTTGATTGAGTGTAGTAGAGGATCTATGCCAGTGTTTCCCAACCTTTTTTGTACCANCATTTAAATGGCCCAGAGCAAAAGGTTTAAACTCATGTCGAGTCCATTTTTGAATTGCCCCCCGGTGGGGCGTGGGCCCCACGTTGGGAAACACTGATCTATGCTATCCGCTTTTATCTTCTGTGCTGTAAGAAGAAATTTGGATGAGTTGAGTTGTTGATGATGACGGATGGAAAAGTGAAAGTATTCATGAAGAAATCAAAACAAATTCAATGTGAAATTTGTAGTTTTCCTAGAGATTAAAATTATAAATATATTTTTTCCAAAACACTTTTGGAGAGGTTGAAATAATGAATTTAAAATCCAAAATGTGGTGGTACCAACACTTTTGGAGAGACACACGTTCATCAAAGAAAAATTTTAAAAAAAACAAACTCTTTTTCCTAGGCGATCAGAGAGGCTTAAACCAATTACGAGTGATAGTGGCCCACATATGAAAAGCAAAAAAAAAAGTAGTAGTTCATATTATTTTAAACCAAGTATCGTTCTATTACTTAACATTTTATTTTTTGAAAACCCCTATGCTTTGACTTTCGATCTGAATATTTATCTCATTGATTAACTGCGGCATATTAATTGATTTAGAATAAATTAATTAATTTAAATTAATGTATATAGAAATAACCGAAGAAAATATTTCTGATCTGTTTTGTTTCAATAAAAAATAATTAAATAAATTAATGCATATCAAAACAATTGAAATTAATATATTTCAGTATAATCACAAAATAGTATTAAACATT